TCAAGGGGTGTTAGTATAATTTACCAAAAAAATTAATTGGAAAAAAAATTATTTGAAAAAAAATTAATTGAAAAAAAAAAATTGATAAATTTTTTTTAAATTTCTGTTTAAAAACCAAAAAAAACTCATTTTTTGAATTTACGCTTTTTCTTCAAATTTACAAACTGAGACGTCCATTTATAAATCAAAAAAAGTATTGAACAAGTTTTTATGACAGTTTTTAAAATTTTTGTAAATATAAATTAAAAACTGAAAATGATGGTAAAAATGTTGTAAAATTAATAAATAATTAAATAAGTTACCAACATAAGAAATGACTTATTAAAAGATTCTTAGGCTATATATAATTTGATTTTTAGAAAAAAAAAATTAAAAATTAAAAATTAATTTAGTTAAAAAATAAAAAATAATTATCACTTTTATATAATTTTTATCTTTCGAATAGTTAAAAATATTTTTTTATAAATTTAATTGAAACAGTTATGGCGTTGTTTTAAAAATCGTTGTTTAAAAGGTTTTCAAAATATTTTATAGCCAACTCATTTAAAAAAACACCGTGCTAGGTGTACTAACATATTTCCCCTTTAAGCCCACACGTTTTTCATTCTTCCATTTCTCTCAATCCTGAGATAGATCTAGGGTTTTTTTTGTCCCCTCATCACTCCTCTTTCTTATGGTGAAAGTTCAGTAGATCGAGCTCTCTATCCGGCTCCGACTCACGATCACGATCTCCATCTTGGCTCAAAGCTCCGATTCACGATCGTAATCTCTATCCGGCTCTCTCCATCTTGGCTCAAAGCTCTCGATCAATCCGATTTGAAGATTAATTTTGTGAGTCTCATTCTCTGATTTTTTGATTGTTTATATACGAACTCAGATCTGTATCTACGATCTTAGATCTATTTGATATATATATGTGTACACTAATTTATGTTAAAGTGAACACAGATCGATCGATTGATTGATTTTTAGTCTATTGATCGCGATCGAACACTCTCTCTCTGGATTTGATTGATTGATTGCTTTCATTCAGATCTGTAAGTTTCGTTCAGACACCTATTTTGCACTCTGGTGAGTCTTATTTGATTCCCTCTTTCCTTACCTTGCTACTTTCCATAAATTGGTTTCCACTGTTTCTTGTGTTTAATTATTCTTTTGCAAACATGGATTGATTATAAATTTATATACAGATTTGAAAAGGTAAAAATAAAAAAGGTGAGATAAAAGTAAATGAAATATAAGTTAATATAAGTGATAAATAAGTGTGAATATTACACAAAAATGTTTGTTGGTCCATCACATTAATCGACATTGACTTCATCTTTCTGAATGGTTATGGTTTTGTACAGTATAGGTTCTGTCAGTGTTTGATTTTTACAAAGAATGTTACGTTTCTTTTTCCATAAGATACAATACGTATCATACGATTTTGACTACACTGCCTGTGGTTTAGTTGGATTCTTGGCATGATCAAATCCAAATCCAACATGATCTTATTTTATATAGTTACAAGTTTTCAGAATATATTAAATATTTTAGTTTTTTATAAGGTAGGTAATGCGAAGTGGGTATTGGTTGACCTGTTTACCAAAAAATAGATATTTGGTTGCATAGTTTTGACTGCTCTTTAGTGTGCAAGAGCATCTCCAGAAGCCTCTCTATTCCTCCATATTTGTTACTATAGCTAGCTTGGAAGGGTAAATGATGGCTCCAGCAGACTCGCCCAAGCATCCCTAAGATGATTGTGAGCTACGGTACCTCGCCAGGACAAGCGAGGTACTGTTCATGCACCTTTTAATTTTTTATTTGTTTTTGGCTCTTGAACTTTGATTTTGGCGGTAAAATTTTTCATTTCTGTTTATTTTGATCATTTTTGCTTCAATGCATTCAGAAAATATTGATGAAACAGAGAAGAAAATTTATACCGACTATTTTCTTTCTTTGTTTCTGGCTAATAGTAAAAAGTATTCATGAAAAATCAAAGATTACATCTTGCATATATTTGAAATTGTTGAATTTGGTTTAGTATTTGATGTTTCTTCGGATTTGGATAACATAGAACACAATTTAATGCTGTTGCATAATGGCCTGTCAACTCTTTGATAAAATGCTTATAAGTAATGGGTATCAAAGATCTTCTCAAGTTCATGAAACCCCATATTGAACCCATTCACATCAAGAAGTATGCGGGCAAGCGGGTAATATAATCACCTCCTCTCATTTCATATATATCTATCTATGTCAGATTCTTCGTAGTTACATTTTTTGCATTCTTTTTTCAGGTGGGTATTGATGCTTATTCACGGCTTCACAAAGGAGGTATGATTCTGAATCCATCACATCTTTTTTTTGACCAAATCCATCACATCTTGTTTGACTTTGTCTTCACAAACTGTTTTTTAGTTTTTCTATTTTTGGTGATTTTTTAGTCACTTTTTAAAATTTTTAAATGCACAAAAAACAACTCACTAGTTCTGATAATTATGTGTTATATGCAAATTATCGAAACAATCAAGTATTCATACTCCTCTGTTTTCACATGCAAAGGGCAGTGAGTATCACTCCATCAACAGCACATCAACTGATTCAGGTACCAAATTGCGACTCTTTATCAGCTATTTGCAACTTGGAATACTATTTAGTGTTTTTCCATCACCTACTGTGAATTAAAAGTACCAATTTGCCATTCTTTATAATCTTTGATTCTTTCAACTGTTGATTTTTTAGATTATGAGATCAGAGAACATTGAATTTGTAGTATCTCCGTGTGAAGCTGATGCACAATTAGCATACCTATCCAGCCTAGAAGCAGAAAAAGGTGGAATTGTAGCAGTGACTTCAGAGGACAGTGACCTACTGGCATATGGCTGTCCAACTGTAAGAAATTCAACAGAACTTTGATATTGATGACTTAAGCCTCATTTTTAGCACTAATTGTCTTTTTATGTTTTGCATTGGTTACAAGCAGGTTGTCTTCAAGATGGACCGCTATGGCAATGGTGAAGAGATAGTGCAAAACAAGGTTTTTGAGTCTGCATCTCGTGTGCCTTCCTTCCAATGTTTTGATAAAGAACTTTTCACAGGTGATTTGAGACACTTCAAATTTATTTACAAACTTATAACACTAAAAATTATACAACCCTTTGCGGTTCCTTTCTATCATATATATGAACTAATTTGAGACAGGAGATGCACTTATCTTCTAGCTTTCTCACAGGCATGTGCGCTTAGCTGGCTGCGCTTTTCTTCCATCTGTTCCTGGAATTGGAATTACGAAAGCTTATTCTTTGGTTTCCAAGTACCGGAACTTGGATCGTGTAAGAGTGCCTTGTCTCTTTGTGAAAATGAATTGCATTTCATTTTGTACTTGAATTGCTTTCACTACATTTCTTATTACGGTAAGAGAAGATATAAATAGGAAAAGACATGCTTCAACTCCATTGAAATAGTTCTGTTATTATATATGCAGTGTGCACTCTTTTGGAATAATTGCTTTGAAAAAACCTAGAACCTAGATAGTTCTTTCATAACCAAGTGAGACTTTTCTTCAATTTTGCCATTTGGTGAGTTGAAATCTTCAGATTCAGTGCTCTCTAGACTGAAGTGTTAGTGAAAAATTGTGGCAATTTATTAGAATTAATGATATCAAATATTAGGTACAATTATAGAAATGAAAAAAATGGTACATTGGCTTATTTAGACATTTGAACACACCGAAGGATAGATTTATGGTAACCTATGTATGTTTTGGTTGCTTAAGTTGTATCACACACAAGATTCTATTTGATTTCTCTTGTCTATTCACTTTTGATAAGATGTCGTGAATCAAATATATGGACTTCTACAAGAAAAACATAAATGCATCTAGGAAATTATAAAACAAAAAAAAAAACAGAACTGAGTGAGATTTTATAGAGAATTTGATAGAATCTATGAATTCAAGAATCAAAGAATTTGTTAGTATAAAAAAAGAGGAACAACCAGTGGGTCTTGAGAGGCACTGCTCAAGATCCCTGTTTGGCATTCATTAGAGCAGAACCCAAATACACTCAAATTCATATATAATCTTTTATTAAATGTCTTGTTTCTCAAATAATATTGTCATTTTTTACAAGTGCATATCTTGAGTTTTAGATCACTTTTTTGTTTTATTATTAAATTATTCTAGCTTAAGAAAGTTTGAAATCATTCATGCCTTGATGATTTATTTTGGCTTCTAGAAGGGTATCAATATCTTTTGTAGCTTTATACTATTTGTGTGGAGAATCAAAATAATTATGTCATTTTTGGTGGCTGTGGGGAAAGGATTGGGGCAGTTTAACAACTGGATAAATTACATTATTTTTGGTGTGATCTAAATGTAAGTTTATAAATTAATTAGTAAGTTTATTCATATGATTCTGACGGTTTTTAAATTAATTTGTTTTTTTATTTTTCAGGTCAGAAATTTCTTGGAGAGATGCAAAATATGGTCAAAGAATTCAAGAACTTACTTTTTTCAAGTTTTTAATTTTTTATTTTTTAATGTATGTAATCACAGTTAATTTTTTATTTATTAATTTCTTTGTATATACTTTTAAACATTTAACTTTCATTTATGAAATATATGATATTATTTCATTCAATATATGGTTGTGATTCAAAATATAGTATGTGTATTACATTATTCAAATGCGCGTGCAAAAATAATATTGATTATTCTTTAAATATGTCAAAATTTGTTTTTTATCACAGGTTTTATTAGTTATTAATCACACTTAAAAGGTGTGATCTAAAGTTTTTAATCACACTTAAAAGGTGTGATCTAAATGTTTTTAATCACACTTAAAAGGTGTGATCTAAATATTATTAATCACACTTAAAAGATGTGATGAAAGCATTTTTTAATGACACTTAAAAAGTGTGATTAAAAATGACCATTTTTAATCACACTCCTAAAGACCACACTTTAATAAAACTTAAAAGGTGTGATTAAAAAACATACATCACACCAAAAAAGTGTGATCTTTATCTATATTTGTAGTAGTTATATCATAGTTATATTATAAAAAATAGATAGTTATTCAAAAAATTACATTTATCTCCTATTTTTTTTTAAAACAAATGTAATTAAATTATATAGCTATGAATGTCTATTAGCATAATTTTTTATATAAATATTCTACCCAACAAGTTCTAAAAAATGAATGGCTCAGATTATCGAGGCTGGTCCCAAAATGAAGCCACCAAGCTCAAACGTTTATTAGAAGTTGGATGGCCAATTTGAGAGAATCCAAACCCTTATTTAAAAATATAAAAATTCAACTTGATAATTTTTAAATGACCAATCACCTGGATATTTTTTTTCTTCATTTTTTGCACGATCAAATTGTTCCAGAACTATATTGCACAATTAGTACCAGTTAGGGGTGGTAGAAGAGGAGGTTTGCTACAGGAAAAGTTGTGGTAAAGACAAGGTTCAAACAAAGGAGTATTTTAAATATTATGTTCGGGTCCAAAGAAAAGAGGGAGGAAAATAATTTATTTAGTGGAGGTCTTAAGGTATTGTACCCCTCTCTACATACAAAGAAATCAAAACATTAGCACGTGAGTAAAACACAACCACATATAATCACCATTCTCACATTTTTTTTCCACATATACAAGAATAAACCCAAATGTCATCTTTTTTTGAACAAGAAATTACAACTTTAAACAATTAAGCAAGATGCTAAAACAGAGCAACAATCAACATTTATTTTGAAGCATTCTTTTTACTTATTCAAATTCTAATCATTGCATACTTAGAGCAAGTTTGGGAAGATGTAAAAAAGTCAAAAAGTCAAAAAGTTACTCAAAAAGCTAAAAAGTTAATACTATTCACCAAAAGTCAACAATTACGGCTGCACAACTCTCAATTCAAATTTTTCTCTACAAATCAATTTTTACAATTTTTTATTACACATTTTTCAATAAAAAGTCAAAAAGTTAACCCAAACATCCATATTTTCAACCTCAATTTTTTAGTCCAAAAAGACAAAAAGTGCACTTTTTTAGTCTTCCCAAACTTGGCCTTACTACACTTTTTAAATACCCCAAACCACTACTAAAATTAATTTCAAGGCCATCTTTTGGTAACTTTAACCGTCAAGCCATGCTTCATACAAACAATGATAGAAGCATTAGGAACCACTAGGTGTCCTTTAACAACTCTAACGTTATAGTTATGGATTATTGCAGCCGAAACTGCCTTCATTTGAGTGAACGCAACTTCTTTTCCCAAACAAGTCCTTGGTCCTGCATTGAACGCCAAAAACTTGTAAGATGGCTCGTGTTTGATCGTTCCTCGCTCAAATAACCATCTCTCCGGCTTTAACTCCACGCAATCCTCTCCCCATATGAATTTCATCCCCCCCATTGCATATAGAGAGAATAATATTTTCATTTTTGGATCAACACAATGCCCACTTGGAAGTGTGTCTGGTTTTAGAGGCTTTTTGTGTTTGAATGGAACTGGTGGATGTAGCCTTTTTTGATTGGCAAAGAAAAATTCCATTAAAACATGAAATTTACAGGTACAAGGAAAGAAAAATGCAATGAGAGAGATTCGAAGAGTAAAAATTTACTCTCCTACTACTGTTACTCGCGTTCTTACAACCAACCCTTTAGCCTCACGATTTTAAAATTTAAAAAACAACAATAGAAAACTAAAATAAAGTAACCTACACCCTTGAGCCCCCACCTAAAACATAGCTACACACCCCAACCATCTGACTGCAGTAGCTACACACTGCAACAGCTACACACTCTAGAGCCCCATGCCTGATCCGAAACCCTACACCCTTGCCGGACACTCAACCACCAAATTGCCGAACCCTCAGGCTCCATTGCCGTTTAGCACCATCGACAGCCACTTCTTGCTACACCATCGAGAACCACCCTTGCCCGAAACTACTAGCTTCACCTCTGAACATCGATAGCCTCTACTTACTTCACTCTCCTCTTCTACATCTGCTGCAGCCTCCTCCTTTGGTTCTTCACCGAGACCCAAACAACTCCCTCTGATTCTACATCTGCTACACTCTCCTCTGCTATATCTGAGCAGTCCCCTCTTTGTTCATCCGGTGCCAATCTTCTCATAGCCGAACACAAACACCAACCACCAACGAAGTGAATGGAAAACACCCCTCAAACTCCCACTCGCACAGGGGCGCCCGAATGGAGATCCAAAATAACTCTGAATCCTCCACCCCTCAAACTCCCGCTCGAATGAAGTGCCCGAATGAAGTTCCTGAACCAACCCACCCATTTTCAACGCACCCAACCTAAACCAAGACCCACTGCTGGAGCTAAACACCATGGCTGGAGCCCCACTTCCACCGAACCTTACCGACCGAGACAGAAAACCCCACCAAAACTACCCATCAAAGCTAACAAGGGCATCAAAGGAGGAGGCTACACAAAAACGAAAGAACCAAAACAACAACCTAAGCAAATCTAGAGATTAGATCTGAAAAGGAGGAGGAAAACTGATGGGGCTCAAGATTATTAGGAGAAAACCCAAGAACACAAGAAGAAAAGATAGGCCAGCCAACCGCCATGGCCAAAGGCGGCGGCCGGCTGGCCAGCAGTGAGGCCCCGAGGTGGAGGTTTTAGAAAGAGAAATTTTAGAGAGAGAATGAGAGGTTTTCACATTTTAGAGAGAGAATGTAGCCTTAATGCTTCACATAGTGCATTGTGTAGATAAACTAGTTTGTTAGCTTCTTTTGTTGGTATATTTGATTTGAGTTCTTCTCTGATCTTTTCTTCTTTGTCCGGGTGAGTTGAAACGAGCTAAAGAAACCACGTGAGAGCTGAGCTAGTCGTGTCTCTCTCTGCAATCATGAAATTTAAAACGGTGTCTCTCAAGAACTTATCGTCACTTTTTATCTCTTCTTTATTTAAATACAATGTTAACAGATCAACACCTTCTTCTTCTTCGTCATTCGATTTGATTACTCTGCTAAGTTCATCTCTCTTCATGGAAATATATTTCTCTATGATATGGTCTAGGGTTTTACAAGCGTTTCTCAATTTCTTCTCATGTCCAATACTTACCCACCTCTGGAACTTCCAAACGCTCGCAGGGACTACGTGGCGAATAAAGATAGCTTCCGCGACATCATCCATGGCTTTGGCAAAGGGAACATGAGGGAGGTCGATGGAGAGGCAACCGGGGTCATAGCCGGTGACAAGCATGCAAGTGGTGTCAAATGTTAGCCTTTGGAACAAGTCTTGCAAGTCCACCACTAGGCCTTGTTTGGAGACATGTTCAAGAACTTTGATGAGTCCTTTCTCCACCTTATCTTGGGTGGTCTTGACCAAAAGCCGGTGGAACTGGGGTGACTGAGTTGTAATTGAGCAAGTTTTCTTTGGTTTCTCCACATATCTGAATCAGAATTGATAAACGTGTTTCCAAAAACGTTAAAAATCTTGAGAAATTGAGGATCCTTTGGGAAATTCAAGAAGTTGGAATTCATTATGTAGTGCACGTTGGATGGATCGACAGTTACCAACATGTTTATGTTAGCAAAAAATGGGCCTTTGAATAGAAAAGTACCTCCGGCTTGGCATAGAACTCTGGTGGCCTAGTCGTGGATCTGGTGCACATGGCAGAGAAAAGTCAGTAGCATCCCAAAAAGAGGCCAGTTCCATGGAAGCACATCATCAACAGTGATGGATAGGAAGAAAAGGAAGAGAAAGCATGTAAGTGCTGATAGGACTTCATAGTAGACTAGTGAGGCCATTTGGGTTTTTGTTCAAGGTCTTAATAAAACAACAACAATGATTTAGATCACTAAAAAATATATCACTAATAGCACTAATACATTGGAAATGACAAAAAATAAAAGTAAAAAATAAAAACAAGGCATAGAAAGTAGGCGGAGGAACCTACTGCAACATCATTAGTGCTCCCTCTAGTGATCCATTTTTAATGCTCCCAAGCATTTTTCATAAAACAATGCAAGTAATATGTATATGGATGGAGATTTATATAACGATTTTATTCAACTTTAGACTGTCTGGTCAAGAATCCATTAACTACCAAGACAGCTTTTAAAGCATAGCAAAACTCAAAAAGCATTAAAAGTTCATCAATTCATGTATCAACAACCAAAGTGCATACACAAAAGGGGAATTGTTATAGGAATTCAGCTTCACTGATGTTAGAGATTTTAAAGTGACAGAACTGTTTTTTTGGGTGAAAAAAAAATGATAGAACTTGAACCATTTATTTTATAAGATTCACAATATATATTATCCATAAAAAAAAATGCAGAGCGATCCGATAATTGTTACTTTTTTATTTTATCACATTAGTCTTGAAAAAAAAAATGAACAACAAATACATATTTGAAATAGACCATTCGTTTTTTTAGAGACAAATGCGATAAAATGAAAATATTACGATTAT